ACATGCATTACCACCTAAACACATGTACAGGCTGCTGAAATTAAAGTAACCAAGTACCCAGTCTTTCCACCTTCCCATCCAGCTTATGCAGCCACAGGCTAAAGCAAGTTTCTTGAGTGGGCAAAAAGCCCATGTACATGCTGGAAGATCTGGGAAGTCCATATCCAATGAACATACAGTTGCCACACAAATGGCAAAAGTTCACTGTTCATGGTGTAGATTCAGACAAAGACAAAAAGACTATCATTGCCCCAAAGAAGCCTTTCTATCCTGCAACAGCATAAACTCAAATTGGGAAGGAGATATCTGTGCATGCACAAGCACATCTCAAGAAATAAAGAGGGCAGGACAAATTACTTCCACAGTTATTAGGATGATGAAAATACGATTTTCTTCATTCAGCTGTTCTCAGCTTAACTTTCAATTCTGGTCTAGAGAAGACCTTACACATACTGAAGGATATTCAGAATATAAGGCTATTTCTCATCACGTAGAATATGAACTATACATTTTCTCCTCACATAAAGGAAGCAAGGCATTGCTTTAATCTCTGGATATTACCATACCATTAATTTCTCCACAGATTTAGAAGGATACTGCTAGACTCCTTGCAAAGTGTGAGGAACACCAAAACATCAAAAGGAGGATTAGATTTTATATTTCAAGAAGGATTCTCTGCTAAAAACCAAACGCCAGTGACTCATCAGGTGGCACGTGCTTTAACACAGTAGGATGACCAACTCTACAATCCAAGCATAAAAACTAAAATTTTATGGAGCGTGATGTCATTTTTTGGCAGTTGTTCCTTTGACTCAGGAAATATTTGCGAATACTGTGTATCTGCCATGTTCTGGTACGGGATTTTTACAATTTCTTTTTATATGGTTTTGCAATGGAGTAGAAGAAGCGAGATTCTGATTCTGGAACAGGAGAGTTGCAAATTAGCTTATATACATCTACAATTCTATGATTTCACAATGATATGTTTAATCTTACTAACCTTGTGATCACAACATTTTAATGTACATATGATTAAGACAAATCACCAGGTAAATCTTGTAGTAAGATCGTTAGAAACTAATACTTGACATTTCCTGCTCATCATACTGAACAGAATTTCTGTAATGCAAGAAATGCAGTCACACAAGCTCAGTTGCTGACATAAATCACTCTCTAATTTGTTGATGGTGGGGTTGGTGAGAGGGTTTTTTCCCAAAAAATGCAAAACAAATATACAACTTGACCATTATGTTTCCAATGTGAGCCACCATTTTTCAGAAAGATTCCTGCATGTTAGCAGGTAACATCCAGAAACTGCTTTTGGAAATAACTATACATATGTGTATTTTGGGGGGACAGCTAATAAATCTACATACACAGAGCTTTATGGATGAATACTGGAGATGTAAGCTATGATTCTTCTGAATATTCTGGTTCTTCGATAGTTTTCAGCTTCAGTCATCAGAAAAATAAACAATAGACTTTATTTTTTGGCTGAGAGGTCAAAGCTTTCTTCATATCCACAACAAATTAGAGCAAGAAAGTAGACAGTAAGGATCAATATACAGTAATGCAAAAAAAATTCAAAGGCTGTGTGGAAAGAGGCAGTAAGGATATTCCTGACTTCTCCTCCTCCTAATTCTTCTAGATACACGCAAGTCAGTACAGCATCTGGCTTTATCTGTCAGGGAATTTCTAACTGGCATCTTAAGGCAGACATGAAGGTGGATCAGACCACCTGGAGACACAAGAAGTAGGAAGGAAGGAGACAGAGGTTCTGTATCTCAGACTTCTTAACATCTGGATTGGTAGGAACTTAAGGTAGGAGATAAATCTTGCACATTAAACCCTTTTTAACTATCTGAATGAGTCTTTAAATGACACTGGCTCCAACATTGGTAACTCTTGACTAGACTAGTCATGTTCCAAATGTTAGACCTCCATTAAGGTCAAAAATTGAAATGCATGGTTTTAATTACAGATGGGGAACGTATACTTGAAACTTGTTACTGGAACCTTAAAGAGATCTTAGAATGATTCATAAGGAGTTATACAGGAAAACTGCACCACCTGCATTCATGGCGAGTTCTTCTCACATACTTAATGGAATATCCTGTGTGCACCTTCCTCACAAAAGACAGATGTGAAATATTAATCACACCAAACATAACACCGATCTTTTCTCTATACTATCACAACTTTATGAGAGTTGACAATCAACTGACCAGCATCTACGCAAATACTAACTGCTGGGTCAGTTCAAAATGACAACACTGCAACAATGCCAAATATGACTCATAGGTGTCAATAGGTGTCAGAGAATAAAAGACTATTTTATTTTCTGCCCAGAGATAGAAAGTTGAAGAGAGGCCATGAGCTGACTACCGAAGCCTATGCTTTTATCATCACTGGGAAACGTCTTCTGGCACACAACAGACAAGAGATTAAATGGAGTACAGCACTTTCAAAGACACTATAAAGAATTTTTTTTCCTCCACAGACTCCTTTAGCTTTCTCCAAATAGCTTTTATAATTGCTGTATTAATATTGTATCCTAGGCTATCATGGGTATACCTAAAAATCACATGAGTATAGTCTCCTTACTTTTCAGGAAATATTTGTGTACTATCCTGCAGCAAACATTTAAAGTAATAATGAAGGCAACTGCAGCAGCAAAAGTAGAATTCTCAGGAGCAGCTTGAATAATTGTGTCAAAAAGATTATTGTATTTGCATGCAAGAGACTCAGAAAAGGTTCTCTACTCTCTTCTAGCATTCAAGAGATATGAGCTTGTTTTCACTTTGCAGTACAATTAACCACAGAAACTCCCAAGTGGTAGGTATGAATGTCTTGCAAAGATGATTCTGCCAAGTCAAACAGCAAATCTACTCTAGCTCAATTCAGACCAGTCTTATATAGCTGCAAGATGTACCTGGTGAAGGCTATCAACTTCATCACTCTTGGAAAACTGAATCTTCCATTTGTCTTATTTAACTGTGAAAACTGATGTCCACATACCAAGTTCACATACAAAGTTTTACAGAATTTTTGTTTAACAAGGTGTGCATCTGAATAGTTAAATCGATATTACTTTCATAGCTCAAGTTTCATAAGCTTATGTTTCATTACAGATTGTACATGTGCTGAATTCTTGTCTAATGACCATGTAATAGGGCACGTTCAATTATTCTCTTTGGGTTTTAGAAAGAAACAGGAAGTTTGGCTATAAACAAAGCAGTCATAGAATAAATTTCACCACAGCAAGTTCATCTGAAAAATATGCATTCTTTGCAACACAGCCAGGAATGGCATTACGAGAACCAACATCCTGCTGCTCTCTCTTTTTTTTCATATATATTTTTTATTTATTTTTCCTTGCCTTTTTGCTGTTGTTTGTTGTTGCTTTTGTGAATTTGTTTTGTTTTTATTTTCCTTATTATTACTACTTAAGCAATATAAGAAAGTAACCTTTTAGTTAATAATGTTAATACATGTTTTGTGATGAGCATTACGTGAAGGATGTGAATAGTGAATCAAAAGCAGCTGCTAGAAACCACAGGATGAATAACAAGTTTGCTAAATTTAGTATATGTTATGAAATACATAGAGTGGAAGAAGTCAGCCATTTCAAATTTCTATCAGCTGGGAAGGAATTGCTATAGAATGTTTTGCTCTTTAATTATAAAATACAGGAAAGATGATAGGCATTAGTAGAAACATGTCTATTGATCTACACTAAAATAGATTTATCTGCTTATATTTCTGCTTTTAGCTCCTCCCAGTAACATTAAAAAAAAAAAAACCACATCCATTTAAATAGTAGTGTTAATGAAACAGGAACAACCATTATTCCCTGGCTTCCAGTCGTGCCTAGAATAAGCCCAGTGTTGTTACTGCTACTCTGTGTCTATTAAATATTTGACAAGATAAAGTAAGATTTCAACTCCAGTATTAAACAGAGTAAGCTTGGAACACCAAAAGCATTTTCTTAAATGCTTTTAATCAGATGTTATAGTTCTTCACTAAAAGAACAAACAAGCCCTTTATCTGGTTATCTATGTATATCCTTTTTTTTTAAATATACTTAATGCCAAGGTTTTGCTTATTTTTGATTTTTCATTTGGGAAAGAAAATATTTCAAAACATAACAGCAATGGTCCACAATTACAGACTGAATTAGGATTTCCCTAGGTTCTAGCTACTAAAGATTCCAAGGATTATGTCATAGCATAGATTCTGCGAAGTACTCTACATAAAATGGGAAACAAAATGTCTATTTTTGAAAGACTGAAGTTGCCCAAACATAATTAAATGCATGTTTAAAAATCAAGGCTGCCAAACAGCTGACACCCAAAATCTGACCTACCTAAACTGAAGAATTATTCTATCAGTTTAAAAATGTGGACATTTCCACCCACACAAGTCTTGCCAATAAATGAACTTATAGAAATGTGTATACATTACAGCATACGTGTACATGCTTGCCCTGTGCTAGACTGATAGAGATGGCCAGTAGAGGGAGCAGAAGTTAATAAACACCATAGAACAAAACAAAATTCCTGCTATGCCGTACGCTGAAGTAAATGAGAGGAACGTTACATTGGCTGTCTCATTAACAACAACAAAACAGATGGAGGAAAAAAAGGAAGAAGATAGATGATGGAGAAAAGAAAAGCCACATGGAAGAAAACAAAGGCAATGGATACAAGTTGCAGGGGAGATTCTGACTATGTAAGAAGACTTTTTTTTTTCTTGTGAGAATACTGAATTATTGGAATAACCTCCCCAAGGACATGGTGGATTCTCCAGCTCTTGAGACTTTTAAAAGTTTGGCTAGACAAAGTGTTACCTTGGAACAAAAACACACACTTAAATGAGACAGAACAGGACATCCTTAGCAAGAAGATTAAAATATTTCCTAAAATTGTCCTCTGTTACATTAATCTTGTATTTCTAGACACTTTTTTCTACATTTCTGTGACTTATTTTAAAGGTGTTACCTGTAGATTAATCTCTGCTTCATAGAAAGTTAAGCAGGAGCAGTAGTGTCTCTCCGAGTCTATATCAGTCAAAACCACCACAAAGAACGTTGGCTGTTTTCTCTCTTTTGAAAGCTGCCATCCTCCAGGTTGGCAAAACTAATGAAACAAAAACAAACAAAAGAGGCATTTAGTTATGCAATATCTTCTTTTCTTTTTTTTTTTTTTTTTAAGAACTATGGAAGACAGTTTTAAGCGATACAACAGAACACCATCTGAAAAAGAAGCTCCGAAAATTTCACTAAAAGCAAACGTATGCAGAACTGAAAAATTTTGATGGAAAATGGAAAAAAACTAGTAGATTAGATTGATAAACATTGAGGGAGATGTTATACACAATGTATATGCTACACACACAGTAACTAATAGGTCCCTATTCAGTATTTAATAAAATCCATACAAGGATTTAAGAAGCAACAATAGGAATAAACTGGCAATTAATGCAGACTTCATTTAGATTATGATTTAAAATTTGAAGCTAAAATCATTGTCTTGGAATGTCTCTGCTTACATTTTTAATTTTGCTTTGTTTTTAAGGAGCCCTAAAACTACAGGTTGCAACCTGCTGTTCCATTACATACACAGAAGTGCAACTAAAATTAGCTTTTGAAGTATAAAACTACTGATATACTGTGTAAGTTGTACACATTTTTGTGCACATTAAGAAAAGCTAGTCAGGATAATCATAAAATACAGACATAGAAAGCTGCTTTCAGATTTGATTGATTTCAGATGCAGTGTCACAACGACAGAGTAATCTTTTCCTGTTCAAGTACCAGCTGCATCCAAACCTTTTCTTTTCCCTGAAACAAACCTTCCTGTTTTTAAAACAAAATTGTTCAGCACATAGGATTGGCCTTTTTACTTCCCACCAATCAAAGGATCATACATACTTGTTCATCTGTAGTCATTTTAAGGAGATATAAAATCTAAGAATGGCTACGTTGGATAAGACAAGTCCAGAACGCAGTTTCCATCAGGATCTAAGAGTAACAGCTTAAAAGCAGTACAAGACTGGGTAACGGCCCGGATACTGTTCTTACCAGCAAAGTTTCCAGCAGCCTCCATCTGATGAGCCTTCTGAGCCACAGGCAATATATTTGTCCTTAACATTCACTGATAGCTATTAAAACTGTCCCTGGCTTTCCTTATTAGTTTACTTAGTCAAACTTAAACACTCTGTTTACAACTACCTGCAAAAATATTCAACACTTACTCCAACAAAAGCCTATTTATATAGCACCTTTTCACTTACTTAAGGATTATCTCTATAAACCTCATTGCAAACATCTGAAATTTTCTAAGGGGTCGTATCATAACAGGTATATTATTTTCCAGCCCTGTTGAAAAGTGAGCTCACATTTCATGACTTTATAAAGTCTCAGGGACCAAAACAGTTTCTTGCCTCAAAGATGCTCCAAGCACATCACATGTTCTCAAAACACTATTACTGCAGCAGTGAGCAGACTGCATGATGTGTATTAACTATAACATACATCAAATAAGCTTGAGTCCCTTCAGTATTTATCCCTCCAAGCTGACATGAGCTATGGCATTTCAAGTCACCCTAAACACTGACAGGAATTTTGACCTCAGAACAGAGGTACACAAGCAGTATGAGTAAAAAGAGAAACAGAGCACAAAAGTGAAGAGAAATCTATATAGGTTTTTTTCTTCTTTCAATAACAGAAGTACATCATTGATTAATAACTTGCTCCCAGTAATGGGAGACTGGGCTGAAATTTCGAAGTCAGTTTGATGAAAAATCTTGAAATGGTCTTTATGGAATTTTGTATTCCATACTGAATACTGAAGACTTGAAATGACATATATAAAAAATTCACAAGCACATAATTATTAACAAAATCCTAAGCTTAGAATTTACAAGGGGTAAAGACAACAAGACATGTCTGCATTAGGGAAAAAAAAAAAAATCTAGGATCATTCAAGAATGCAGATAGCAAAGGGATCAGGTTGAGATTTCATGTTTCCAGCAATTTCTCTCCATCCCCCAACATCCTGGTCCAGACAGCTGATGAAAACTGAAAGCATAAAAATAAGTTGCACACAAACATTTACTACAGATTCATCTTTAGAACCTCTGCAATAAAACTTGGGTATTCTTGGGTGAAAAGCAGTTAAAATTCTGTCTCTGATACTCTGATACACAGTTTGTTTTATGATCCTGGGAAAAACTTCCAAACCCAAAGTTTCTCATGTTGTATTCTTCATATTCAGGATAGACAGCTTAACACTTCTGAGTCTTTATTCTTAGAAGTGGTAAGCACTCCCTCCTGCAACTGAGCATAACTGTTTCAAACATCAAAAAGTCCTCCTTGAAAAGACATCCTAGTCATTCCAAGCTAAGCATCCAGCATTAGCCAATGAGTTTGATATTACTGGCCTTATCTCCCTTTGTTTTTCATCCCACATCAGTTAAAAATAAGAAAATACCACCACTGATCTTGCAGGACTTCCATAAAGATAACGTAACGTGGTAGATGTATACAGACATTGTAATGAAACGATCATCAAAGTCTGATGGTGAAATCGTTTGAGTTCTGTATGTATCGTAGAGTTTAGGAGGTGTGTGGTAAAAAGCCTGGAATCTGTATCTCGAAAAGATACAACAACACACAGCCACTGAGTACCCCTTTGTTCTACGACGAGGAGCCAAAATGCAAAGAATACAGTAAAATACTAATAACAAATACATAAAGTCAATCTTTTCACGGTATACCGTTAAAATTGAATCATACACACAAAGTCGGCCAAATTAAGGTTATTCATGCAGCCTTGGCTCCAGCACTTCTCAAGCTCTGCACGCTCACATTTACGGCTGTTGCATTCCTTCAGACCTGCCAAGCCTACCTGTTCTGACAGGAGCTCCGTGATGGCTCCCACAGGCTCTGCTTGTGCCCTCCTGCCACAAATGCCCACTCCACGTGCTTTGAGAGGAGCTGAGGGGAGGCCTGATGGAGGCTGCAGCTCCTCACAGGAGCGGAGGGGCAGCGCTGAGATCTGCTCTCTGTGACAGTGACAGGGCCCGAGGGGATGGCATGGACAGCTGTGTCAGAGGAGGATGGGGTGGAGATTAAGGAAAGGTTCTGCACCAGAGGGCGGTAGACATGGAACGGGCTGCCCAAGGCATGGCACCAAGTGGCTGGAGTTCAAGGAGAGCTGGAGAGAGCTCTCAGATACAGGATTCAGGGCAGTCCTATCTGCTGCCAGGAGACCTTCCAACTTGGGATATTCTATGATTCTGCTTTAAGGGAATGTAAGACCCAGGATACGCAATTAATCCACTAGGTGTTCAGCGCACAAATGACAAATACGTGAGGTTGGGATGCGTGGCTTATGCACAGCCTTTTTTTTTCAGAACACATGCACAACCTACCAGCTTTGAACTTTCGAGCATCAGTAAGTCTAATGTAATTGATTCCAGGGTTTTAAAATGCATCTTAAAAATAAAGTGTATTCAAATGATAGTTCTTTTTGTTGTGATGAAACGTTATTTGCAGGTCAAGCAATGTCGTAATTATCAGAAGGGACTGCTGAGCTGGGGAGGGAGCTCTCAATAGCAAGCAATGCTAATAAATAGCTTCTGTGGAAGCGTAAATCTGACTCGTGTCAGTGAAAATTCTTTCTAATCTAAAAATGGTCTTGAGAATAAAATATGCTTTCTAGATTTCATTCTTTACTAGTGGACAATTAGTGATTGTTAAGGAAAACATCTTAAGCAAAGTATACCCACTGGCTATACAGAGAATCTGTTTTCAAATTAACTGGAAGAAATTTATAAATATAGAGATTGAGGATAAAGACAACAAGGCAATGCAACGCTCCTCCTTGAAATTAAACAATGAATGAGTCTCAGTTTAGTTAAAATAAGGTAATAAATATTAGTGTAATACTTGAAATACAAACAGCACTGAGAAGAACTTTCCAAACTAGTATAAACGCAAGCGACTATCCAGTATGCTTGCCATCATAGTCTGGCCAGTAGGAAGAGAAAAATGTTTCCTTACCAACCAGATGCTATACACCAAAACAGACAAAAGCACCACTGTGAACATAATTCAAAGGTCATGTGCTTCTTCAGTAAACAGGAAAAAAACTCAGAAGTTTAAAAATGAACACACTCCCATATTGTTTCACTTATTTGCCAGAATTCTTGGAACCTGAACACAGCTTCTACCAATGACACTGAAAATTAAAAGGAATCAGACTGTCCAACTCACTGTTTATAGAATTAAGCCTTTAAGGGTGCTGAGTGCTTCAAATCCACTCCAGATTACAAGTGATTGCCTTAAAAATCTGGCAGAAATATCCAGAAGTTGAACTGAAGAATATGAAACAGAGATCTTACGGTCAAGGTGTTGAAATGACATTTTAAGCACTGCCTGAAACCATGGGTGTTCACTGAAGCAAAGCACTGTCTGTCAGTAACTCACACAGAATGCTTTCAAATCAAACAAGAAGTTAGGTTATAAGGTGATGTTAAGATAAATTAGTTACACATATCAGCACCGAATATACTGTATATAGCTTTCTTAAATCTGTTGAAAAATTAAAGAAAATTGTCACAATCTCACCCAAGCACTGCAGCACTTAAGATGAGGCTTAGTATGAAAGTGAATACCTCATACTATTGCTACACTGAACAGTATTTACATAGTATTCTAGTTTCATTACAGAAAAATGTTAGTAATTTGTATACTTATTATGGAATAAGCATATTATTTGACTTCTAAATCCATTGGACAGAAATTATCCATTTGCTGAACCGCAATTTAGAAGTTTATCATTGATCTCAGAGCTTGCACCCCAAGAATAACCAAACAAAAACTTAAACCAGTGTTCTAGCTGGATCTGTTTGGCTACAGCCAGGAAGACTGCTCAGTCTGCAGTTTACATTGTTTTCTGTATCAACATTCCAGTCAGCTTTCCATCAGAAATCCATTACTTCTGATGGCACTACCACAGTAGAAAGGGGAAAAGCTCATTCAGGAAGTTTACAACACGATACACTTTTTGCAAGTCATCTTTAGAAAGCATTTTTTGAAGAGATTGAACAGAAGATGACATCCATGAAATAC